AAATTTAGGATGAAAATAATACAATATAAGCTTTCCTTAATAAATAAAAGAAAGCTTATAAATAATTACAATAGAGCTTTATGACATTTCTTATGTATGTTGCACATAAAAAAGGAAAAAAAATCCACAAAATCTTCTACAGAAATATTTCACTCCTTGGTTTCTTATTTCTATTGGCTAACTTCTTGCCTCATTAGTTGTAATCTGATTATTCCTAGCAAACCAACACTCCAGTATATCTAGGCTTTAGAGATAATACAAATCAGTACATTTAGAGTGCTGTTTGACAGCTTCAGGTTGCAGGAATTTTAAACAAATACCAAGAAAAGCAATCAGAATTTAACATGATACTTAGGTGCTGAATCTACAAGTAACTTTTAGGGGAAGATTCAAACTATTTGATTATAAAATTTCTAATCTAAGTTTCTTTCAACATAGACAAAGGTAAAAAAAAAACACACCACTTAATACATTATTAAGTGGCTGGTTTTAAAATTAACCCATGTTCTTATGAAATGACTGTATCACCACTTTGGTAATTATTTTGTAAAATAAAACTTGTTCCTTAGAATGTTCAGCAATATAATTGTCCACCATGGATCGAAAGCCACACAAAGGTAAAATAGAGGCTTTGTCATTTGAATAAGGGGAAAAGCCTATAGGAAGCAGACAGAAAACAAGGCTTTGTTTACACTACGCAGGTAGAACTATTGGGGAAAAAAAATCCCCAAAGAAATGGAGTGAAAATGAGTACAAAAATTTCCAGAGGCAATCCCACTGTACACTCAGGTTATCAGGAGTAAAACCAGGAGGACATGAGCAACAATATTTAAACCTCTTTTATAAGAAATGGAAAGGGTTTTCAGTCCACCCTGGGTTTAAAGCGACTCACCCTAGTGGCTCAGTTCAATACTCTGGGAACATTGCCCTTTCCTAGAAAAAATGATTTCTTAATAGGGGAACCTATGCTACCCTCCCACGCAAAAACAAAGTCACTCCAATTGTAGGAGAAATGAGCAAATGCTCTCTTTCCATTGCGCGTTTCACCTGGAGTTAAGAGTCCCCAGCACAGGTCTCCCTTTGAAGAGAAGTCCCAAGAGGTCCAACAGCCCTCTCTGAAGGAAGGGACGAGTGAATCCAACAGCAAACCCCATTCGCTTAGCAATTTGCCGAGAGGCTAGGGAAAGGTAGAGGCCACGCGACTCTCCTACCCTATCGGAGAAAGTTGCCGGAGAGCCCCAGCTTGGAAAGCGCTCCTTACAAACTTTCCAGCGACAGCGCGAGCGCGGCCACTTACCGGCGGCAGAAGTCATGATTTCCCAGAGCAGCTCGCCTCCCTGCTCGCGCCCCTCAATCCATGTTCCCCTTTCACTCTATTGTTTTCAGAGTTTGGGCAGAAGAGAAAAGCCCCCGCAGAGCCCACATTCTGTCCCGTGCCACCGCGGCGAAACCCGAGCGCCGCACAAAGGATGCAGCCGGCTCCAGCTACCCTACTGCGCTCCCGGGCGCGAGTCGCTGGTAGCAGGCGGGCGAGCACGAGCGCCACCCTGCCGCGCTCCGGGCAGAGGGCCAGGCGCGGGCACGAGCAGAACTCACCGCGGCTCCGCTGGCGCGCGCCCCTCTCAAACTCCAAAAAAAAAAAAATATCAGTGCGGCGGGCGCCCCCTGTTAGTCGCGGCCGTAAAAGGCAGACAAAAGCCTCAGCGTCTTCCAATGGAAGAGCTAGAACTTCATTCTGACTCCGCCCCCACGGTGACCCTCTGCACCAATAAGCGGACCGAAAAAGGGGGCGTGAGCTGCGAGGCATGCTGGGAATTGTAGTTGTCAAGACCTACGGGACCGGCAAGAGCAGAAGCCTCGGTGCACGCCCGTTCTCCTGCCTGCCTTCATTTCCCATCGTGCTGAGGCGGGTGGCATGGCGGAGAAGGATGACACCGGAGTTTGACGAAGAGGTGGTTTTTGAGGTAAAGGGAAAATGGCGGTGGGTGTGGGTTGCCTTTGTTTGAGAAGGACGAAAGGGAAAGCAAGGAGACTGGGCGATCCCGGGGCGAGGGATCGACTGACGCGCTCTTGACGGCCTGGACCACCCAACCCCAGCGATTTTGGGGCCTAGTATTGGCCGCAGCCTGACAGGTGTAGCCCCAGGCGCCTCGACCGCAGCCGGCCTCGTTCTCAGGCCCGCCCAGAATTCCCGGTCTGAGAGGGGTTGCCCGGCCCTAGGGCGGGATCCCAGTCCGTTCCTTCCCCGAGACTAAAGCACCGCGGGGGGGACTGTTCCTGGGCGGGGCCGGAACGTGCATTCCAGATACTATTACAACTCTGCTGTCCCCTTTTACATCCTTGAATTTTTGGGTCGCTATCCAATAGTGCCTTGGGTCACTGTTCACCGTCTAGGTGTGGTTCCCGAAATGAAGGCAGCAGGTGCCACTTTTCTAGCATGGTTTAATCTATGGGTGTGGGACCTGCAGTGAGTGGTTAGGGCTGGGGCGCCTTAGCATCTAGGTTCCATTCTTTTGTCCTTTGCTATTTCTCGAGGTGTAGCCAGTTTTGAAATCAAGGCTCTGGATCAGTGCTTTTGTGTAGGACTATTTCAAGGCGCTCTCTGCCATCTTGAATGGAAAAAAAAAAAAAACCAGGCGAGTGTTTTTGATACCATTTTTCTGTCAGGTAAAAATTCACATCGCTGTTTATATGCATTGCATATGTGTACTTTAGCTCATCCTAGATTTTAAGAAAAGGAAAATGACCCATGCCCAACAAGATAATGAGGCACTAACTGCGGAATGTTAAATGTTGACATGTTCAACTGTCATTGGAAGATTAATTTGGAAACGGCTGTCTCTTCTTGCAGCCTCCAAGAACTATACCCGGTAAACAAGATCCGAGGTGAATCTTGAATTATGAATCGTATTAGGAAGATGGAAGGGAGAAAAGATATCATAGGAGAAGAGCTCTGAGTATGCCTAGGGTGGGAGATGTGGAAGTACCTGGTGTGCATTTTTAGGGGCTGGGGTGTGGCAGTTCTCTGTGTAAAGTGGTTTGATGTTTCCACAATGTAGAAATTGTGGGAAATGTGGCCATTTCACTATAATGTAGAATCTGGGTGCAAGGAGTTCACTAAATTTTGGAAATGAGAGAAGAAATAATGTAATAATGCTTTGGATAGGCATTTTCAATTGCATATGGGAGTTGAAGGAGGGAGAAATCTGGGTTGCTTAGATTTCTAGAGCAGGGGAAATTGGTAACCATATTTTTTAGCCCATTATTCTTTGATTTTTGAATATAATAGTAATACATGCTCAAAGAACATTTTATTGTGGAAAATAAACACAAAAAAAATTAAATGACCCATATCCCACCATCCAAAGATGGCCACTACTGACAATATGCTATGTATTCTTATAGACTTTTTGTTCAAATGAATGTTAATGTGTGTGAGATTTGTTAACATAAAACATATACATATTTTATATAAATTTTTCACTTAATTTATCATACATCTTTTTCTACTCATCACTCTTTGAAAACATGATTGTTAATATGCTTTCCCATCATGTAACATATCATAACCAGTTTCCCTTTATGAATAGATTGTTTCAAAATACTATAGTAGTCAACCCTGATATAAGTCCATCTTTTACTGAAACTCTAATTTTCCTTAGAATAATTTCTAGGATCTAGTAGGTCAAAGAACATGAACTTTTTAAGATTTATTAAGAAAGGTTATGCCAATACACATTTCTTTTAGGAATAAGAAAGTATTAATTTTATCAAATTATTATCAACAACCTTGTTAGTTTCCTTTAATCTTTGGAGTTTGATAGGCAAAAACAGCATTCCATTGTTCTGATTTACATTTTGAGTATTTATACATTTATTAGCTATTTTTATTTCTTTGCTTGAGTGATTATCTTCATTCATTTGTCCACTTGATGCTACCCCCCTTTTTTTTTTCTCAAATGCTGGAGATTGAACCCAGGGTCTCTCACATGGTAAGCATTCCTCCTACCTTGAGCTACATCATACCCAGCTTAGCTTCTTTAAAATTGACTTAGAACTGGGATGGGTATATGGCTCAGGGGTAGAGTGCCTCCTGCCTAGCTTGTTGCTTAGCATGTTCAAGGCTCTCTAATCAGTTGGGGGGTGGGGGAAGGGGTGATGGATGGATGATTTACATGAGTTCTTCAAATACTATTAAGTCTTTATTAAAATGTAGGAAAAAATTTCCATTGCTGCTTATTTACTCTAAGTAATACACATTAATTTGTATTGTTTTAGTGAGTTTTTTCATTGATATAGACAAAAAAACTTACAAGAACAATTTTAGAGGAGGAAAAGTTTATATGGGGCTCATGGTTTCACAGGTCTCAGTCTATAGACAGTGACTCCATTGCTCTGTGCAGCACATCATGGCAGAAGGGCGTGGAGGAGGAAAGGAACTCAAGACAGGAAAACCAGGAAGCCCAGAGACAGCTCCTCTTACCACAGACAAAATAGAAAACCCAAAGATGGGTCCCTCAATGACCCACCTCCTCCAGCTACACCTTACCTGCCTACAGTTAACATCCAGTTAATGTCTATCAGGAGATTAATGTACTGATTAGATTAAAGTTCTCATAACCCAATTATTTTACCCCTAAACTTTCTTACATTGCTTCACACATGAGCTTTTAGAGGACACCTCATATCTGAACCATAACTATAATATTAGGAATACACATATCATAAGTATGCAAAAGACTGATGTATGTACACACATTGCACACACCTATGTAAGCAGCTTCCAGATGAAGAAACAGAATATCAGGGCTGGGGATGTAGCTCTGAAGTAGAGTGCCATAGGTTCAATCCCTCATATGGCAGAGAGAGAGAGAGAGAGAGAGAACACATCACTGGGACAATTAGAAACTCCCTTCTCCTTTCAGTCACTACTCCCCACCACAAAAATAAGTTCTATTCAGACTTGTAGTAACTAACCTAGATGACTTTTGTGTATGCATATTTTGGGGGGGGGTTGCTTACAGACTTTCCAATTCCTTTTACATTTTCTTTTGTATCTGGCTTTTTTTGCTTTCTGGCTTTCTTTGTGAGGTTCATCCACATGATGTCAACGTTTTTATTTGGGCATAGTATTCTGTGTGAATATATGAGGATTTAATCTATTTTTTTTTTTTGTATAGTCATGAGGTAAGTTTCCAGTTTGAAACTGTTATGAATACTGCTACTGTGAACTTTTTGGTATGTGCTTTATTAAATGTATTTCTGTTGGATATATACTTCAAAGTGGAATCAGTGAGTCATAGGAAAAACATAAGTTCTCCTTACATATTGTCAAATGTTATTACAAAGTATTTGTACCAAAGTGTTCTGCCAACAATGTATGAAAGGTTAAGTTCTCACCACGACTTGTTTATTCCAGTCTTTTTACCATTCTGGTGGCTATATCCTGGTATCTTCTTGTGGCTTTAATCTGTATATCCTTGATAAGAAAGTTAAGATATTGGGCTGGGGTTGTGGCTCAGTTGTGGAGCACTTGCCTAGCATGTGTGAGGCACTGGGTTCAAGCCTTAGAACTACATAAATAAAATAAAGTTATTATGTTCATCTACAATTAAAAATATTTATTTAAAAAAAGAAAGTTAAGATGTTTAATATGTTTATTTGCCAATTGTAAAGCCACTTTTGTGAAGCCACTTCAAGTTTCTTGTATTTTTTTATTATTTTGTGTTATTGATTTGAAGAAATTCTTTATATATGCTAGGTGCAAGACCTTTAATGGATATATATACTTTACCTTTAGTGGATATATATACTTTAAATCTCTTATCTCAGTCTTATATACAAGATCTGTACTCTGTTAATAGTGTCTTTCAATGAAGAAGCTCTTAAATTTATTTATTATAATTCAACTTATCTTTTCTTTCTTTCTTTTTTTTTTTTTTTTTGTGGTGCTGGGGATTGAACCCAGGGCTTTGTGCATGCAAGGCAAGCACTCAACCAACTGAGCTATATTACCTTTTCTTTTATAGTTAATGCTTTAAAGAAATATTTGCCCACCCTACTGTCACAAAGGTATTTTCTCTAAAAGCTTTACTTGACCTCTTGCATTTAGATCTTGCATCCACATGGAACTGATTTTTGTATGGTATAAAGTGAAGAATATGAGTTTTTTTCTTTATTTCTTTTTGCCGTATGGATGTCCAATTGGGTGGCATCATTTAATGAACACACTGTTCTTTCCCCACTGAGTTGTAGTGTTGCGACAAGTCAGGGTATCTTTTATGTGTGGATTTGTTCTGGATTCCCTCTTCTTTTGCATTAGTCATTCTCTTGCCCTTTCCTATGTTTTTTAATTACTGTAACTTTATAATAGGTACTAATATCTAATTGGATAAAACCCTTCAGCTTTCTTTTTCTTCAAATTGCTTTTCACTATTCTTGCCTTATTGTATTTCCACATAAATCTTGAAAGACTGTCAATTTCAGTTAAAAAAAAATTAATGAGATTTGATTGAGATTGCTTTGAATCTGTAGATTAATTTTGGAATACTTGACATCTTTACAATATTGAATCATCCAATCCCATGAACATTTATTGCTTACCTTCCAAATGAGTCAGGCAGTTTCCCATCTTTTTGTGCTCTAGTACTGATTTTACAAAATGAGAATTATCTCTTCCATGAGGATATAGCTAAATGGCCCTTATAGGATCTAGGTCCTTGCTGGAGAATGGATGTTGTATATCATTTCCTTTTTTTTTTTTTTTTTTT